CAAATTTAATGTTCAATGAATTATTTATAACTTTGCAAAATTAAATTTAATTTAAACAAATAACAACTAAATGTATTTCTAATTACTATTATCAAATATTTATAGCTTAAGTACATCTCAACTAGGTTGGCACCTACTTTTATTATAATTTATAGTTTAAATACATCTCAACTAGATTGACTCTCTCCCTTCTTTTTTTGTCAAATTTAAATTTTTTTTTCACGGGCCAGCAGGTTAACTGCGGCCTGTGAAGGTGCAACCCTGCGAAGCCCGCGGGTCACACCTCCTTGACCCGTGAACCGCCCGCTCGGGTCACAGGTCGGCCCGCGGTCCCGGGTTGATCCGGACCCATTTTCACGGGTCTGGCCGGCCCGTCCGTCTTGACACCTCTAGGTCGGGTAATAGGTCAAGTAGTTTATTCCTTAGTCAGTCATGTGATTTAAAAACAATGCATTAACAATTATTTTATGGTACGCTATGTTTGCGTTAATGTCGCAATAGTGTCGGTTCAAACTTAAAGCATATTATGGAACAGTCAATAACAAAAGTTTGAAACCATCTTCTGCGTGCCACTCAAGCTTCGCTGGCTTAATTATGTTATTCGATCCTTATAGAAACATTATTATATATCTTTCCCACTTAGAATCTCCTTCCTCGGAGTATCCTCTTTTGTAAATTTGTAACTTTTCTAAGATACAAATTTACGGTGACTTTCTTTGACTTCAATTTTACGACCGATTAATTTTTTAAAAGATTGTTTGTGTACTAAATTCGGCTGGAAAAATATTAGTCATGCAATAAGTAAGATAGGTGAGAAAATTTACATATGAGATTCAAAGGAACAAAAATGGTGTATTGAAAAAGAAAATAAACGCTTATAGCTTATCAAGGGAAAAAATTCTGTAATATGCCCTTGCCGGAATTATTTTTAAAATCTAAAATATTCCTTGAACACAAGATGTGTCCGGCCAGCCTATGATAGTATGATTTAAAATCCCCAATGTATTTGAGAATGATTAAGATGTAGCATTCGAGAATGTCGCATTTGTTTTTACGATTTACATTGAAGCTAGAGATAGAAATTCATTGCCACGTTTTCTAATTGATCTTCATTCCTTGACTCTCTCTCTCTCTCTCTCTCTCTCTCTCTAATATTTCACGATACAACAAAGAGAACTGATAAAATAATAAACACAATTTGCCAGAGAATAAAAAAGTCTCCAGTTTACTTTTCATTTTTTTATTTTGTTTAAATGACTTTTTTTTTTTACTTATACACCTTATTGTAAAAGAACTTATTTTCTATATTAGTGAAATTGATCCCCAGCCACCATTTTTATTAACGGATTTGAATTTTTGTAATCTTGGCATTCTTCCTTCTTGTACTAATTCTTCCTTCTGTCATCTTCATAAAACAATTTCACAAGTTTTTTCTGCTAAACATACCACTAATGTTTTATGCCTAGTGGATACTATATGATGAGATAGATTATCATTTGATAAAGATTCGATGATTTATTATTTTATTTTAAGTAGCAAAGAATTAGACAGGAAACGCATTCTTAACACCATTAGAAAAGGAAATAACTGGTTTCATCTTGAGAACAAGCTTCATAAACGAAGTTTCGAAAGGTCCAAAACAAATAAAAGCTTTAGGATACAAATTTCTCTTTATTTCAGGATACAAATTACTGCAGACAACTGACACAAGAAACATAATGATACTGAATTCCGGAATAAAAAGTCAACAAGTTGCTTCAACAGCAACAGTTTCACGAACCTTTGGCTTTGGGTTTGTACCTTCAGTTGAAACCGAATCCACCAGAAGGGAGGGTGACATCTCCCCCTCAGAACTACAAGCCTAGAAAGCAATTATCGGAATTCGGAAGCTGTCATCCAGACACCAATAACCAATTTTCTAGCTGCACCTCCTTCTGTTAACATTGAACTGAGTCGTTTCTCATAACACTAATAATATATGGCTGCTAATAAATTATACATAAATCCTAACAAAGCAGTGATAAATTAATCCTACTAACATAAATCCCAACCATTTATGCTTTTTACTTCAAATAATAGAAAGAATGCTTATTACTTGTTAAATGAATAAATAAGAAAGCCTAAGGAACACAGCATATTAATTTTCCAATTATTCATACAATAATTAATAATGTACATATTCAACTATATGTTGGAAGTGTGTACCTGCATCCTCAACAACACTGGAAGTATCAACAAATTTGTGGTCCTCTCACATCTGTATTGAGCCTGAGAAACAGAGTACCTTAATTTATCAATTATTCACACATTAATTAATATTGTGTTTTGTAGTGTATACAACAGGGTAGATTTGTAAATTGGGAATCAAGAAGACACATGTATACCTTCAAAATCCAGGAAATTTGAAATATCAACGGATTGTTCATCGTTTATCCATACTTTATCAAGCTTTGGTGCGCTCAGTAGTTGTCTTGAACACAATTTTGTGGTTGCAAGGCAATTTTCAATGCGCAAATAGTCTAGTGAAGGGAACACGAATTCATAGTTCTGAGAGGAAAGCAATCTGAATCTATCAAGACCACAAAGATCTAGATATCTCAATTTAGGAAACACAATTCTGCTTGTTGTTCCTTCTTCCACAATTTCGATGTTTGAAGTGTTGTCTTCTTCTTGTCTTCCAATAATCTCTTCAATTGCTTCACATTGTAGAACCGACACACCTTCTAGAGCCACCAGTGAATTGGCCATTGAAGGTGAGAATAAGTACCTTAAGTTGTCACATCTTTCAACTATAAGATATGTCAAATTCTTAAAGATACAAATTCCTTTAGGAAACATCGTTGTAATGTGCACTAATTTGGGTAGAAATGCCACCTGCAAAAATGTTAGTTGACCACGTATTCTAATTTCTGCATCATCTTTTGTATACTCAAAATCAAACAGAATGGACACATCATCCAAATTTGCTATCCTCAATGCTCTAAGTTTATGAGATCTGATTTGCCTTAGCTCATCCAATATTGTCACAGTACAACCCAGTCCATCAATGTTCAACGTCTCCAAGTTAGGCAATGTAACCTGGAAGAAATTTACGTAATGGTGTCAGCTAAAATTATGTAATCATAAAACATCGTAAGTTTGAATATCACCCTTAACTTTGTAGAATTAATAAAGACCTTGAGATGAATTAGCATATGTAAATAACAGTGAAAATAACTGTATATTAATATAAAAAAATTATGGAAACGTGACATATAGAGCTCATTAGAAAATGTAAAGATCAGCCCAAGTCTGAACATGTGTTCGAACTGTGGGTGCTGAGAACCCATCTTTATTTTTTTGAAAATATTCATAGGAAAAAAAAAGATTGTTGGGCATGATCATCAGCCCAGCCCATAATAGATTTTATATGACACGCTACAGATCAAACCCACTGGTGATTATCACACGTGGTAATAAATATAAATATTCCTCAAAATTGGCAGAAACTGATCCAAAACTTTGCCCTTTTTGGTTCCAAAACTTTTATTTTTGGCACTAAGATCCCATATCCATGCCATTAGGACAAAAAAGTGAAAGATCTGGGGACCAAAAACGCACTGAAGTCCCTACTGAAAGGCTTTAATTACTCAAACAACTAGTTTCCACGGTTCATCATTTCGTAGTCAAATATAATGCCAAAACAATTAGGAAATTAAAGGAGCATTAATTTGCAGAAAGGTGTCTTAAGATGAGAGAATATAGGAAATATCTGCGTGTGTCATTTAAAACTTGTTTGTAAAATTTTTTCTAAGGGTTGGACTCCAGGCTTCATAAAATAAAAATTGTGTATGAATTAATTAGAAATTGAGAAATGAGTTAGAATTTGTAATTTTTATATCAGTTAGAATTCATAATATTCATGTGTTTTATAACAAATATGGCCCCATGCAAACACACTAACAAAAAAATATTTACCTGTTTAAACAGTGGATTGAGCACACCAATAGTCTTGTTAGTTCCACGTCTAAAGCTCTTAAAATTTCTTAAATCCTCAAGGATGATATTCTGTAGTTTTGGAAATTCAAGCATTCGGGTAACTTCATTTTGTTCCCTGTCCATGGAAACAATTTCCTTTAACCTATCACAATTGGAAATATATAAACTTTGGAGATTCACCATGCCTGATGCAACTGACTCAGAAAAGAGGCTTTTCAATGAGGGGCATCCTTTAATAGTAAGAAACATAAGATTGTGGAGTGATGGAGGTCTGATGACACCCTTGAACAAATGTTTCATTTTTGGTATGCCATTTAGATTTATCTCTTGTAATCCATCAAATGCCCCTATGGGATGATTTCTATTCAGATACTTGAAGCCATCTTCATCTAACATATTCTTCCTCTCCATCACTTGTTGAGAAAGATCATCGAGATTATTCAAGTCCATTTCTATAGAAAGATGTTCAGTTCTCCACATCAATGAGTTAATTGCAGATTGTGAAAGCATACTTGCGTAAGTAATGCCACGTATATGCAATCTCCTTCCGAAATAATAATATTCCAAAATGTTCTCATTCGCATACTCTAAGTCAGTTAATTCGATATGAAATCTTTCCAACTTCTCAATGCACAAAACATGTAATATTTGCAACAGAAACTGAGGATCATTTGTGGAAATTTGGAAAGTATTAAGATTAGTCAATGAACTTATCTCCTTAATAATGTCCCCTTGTTGTTCCAGTTCATCATCTCTTATTTCAACGACACCTAAGTAAAGTTCTTCCAGTTTCTTCAATTGCATTAAGATACCAGGTGGAAGTGGACAATAGCTAGATCTGTGCTTCAGCCTCAAATCCAATAACCTTAGGTTGCTCAGTTCTGCTATATCTTCAGGGAAGTGATCGAGAGCAGAGCCTCTAAAACTGAGAACTTCTAACATTTTTAAATTCCCAAAAGTAGAATTTTCAGTGTTTAATGTACAATAGTCCAAGCACAAAGTTCGAAGATTGGTCAACAATTGGATTGATGATGGAATGTGAATCCTCATAGCAGTGAAATCAAGAACTCTGAGCTCCTTCATATCGGCAAAAAATTCTTTGGATATGTTCAGTGACTGTTGATTGCAAGTCACTTCTAGAAACTTTAGGTCTGGATATTCTAACCCACTGGGAAGCTGATTCAGCTCATTTGAAGTCAAACTAATTGCACTGTACGATTCATTGTTATCATGTTTTGGCCACTCCTTCAAACCAGTGTATTTTGACATTTTGTATTTAGATGCAATTTGTAAGCAAACATCTCTTACAACATCATGCAATCTTACATGGTCCTTATCCTCAGGTGAGAGCAGTAAGTAGCAACTTTTCAAATGACCAACAATCGTTTTTACCCTATCTCTGGTTGTAATCAATGTCATTGTACCTCTAAACAACTCTAGCCCCCATGCATATCTAACCAAATCTTCAATTGCAATATCAGAATCTTCTGGATACAGAGAGCATAGCAGAAACAAGGACTTGGCTTCATCACTCTCTAGATAGTTGTAGCTTAACTCTATCCTTGAGTACAACTTGGGCACTCCTTTGATATTGGTCACTGCAGAACTCCGTAGTTCTACAAGTGCATTCTTCCATTCATGTTCTTCTTTTCTACTGAGGGCTCTGCCGACTATCACAAGAGCGAGAGGTAAGCCACCACATTGCTTTGCAATTTTTTCTGCTGTATCCTTTATAACATCTGTTGCATCATCAGAAATTTCTGCCTTTTCCTTGAAAAGTTCCCACGATTCTTTTTCATTTAAAAGATCGACGTCGAATATTCTTTGAGCTCTCATTTTTCTGCACACATCTTTATCGCGTGATGTCAATAGAATTTTCAACTCTTTATCATCCCCTGCTGAAGGAACTCCTATAGTTTTCAACACAGTATCTTCCCAAACATCATCCAATATTACGAGAATGCTCTTACTTCTATCACCTCCAAGTCTTTTACGAAGTCGTTCAGCTCTCTCATCTTTATCAGTACAATCGTTAAATTTCAAACCGAGCTTACTAGCAAGTTGATCCTGAATTTTAGTTACATCTGGATTTTGAGATACCTCTGCCCATGTAAACTCATCAAATAATTTGTCAATTTTGGCTTCGAAATCTATTTCTTTTGCCATTGTCGTCTTACCTACTCCACCCATGCCGCATATCCCAATTATGCTGACATCTTTATCCTTTAGAGCATCCATGATTTCCTTTTTAATTGATATCCTTGTTTCGAAATCTCCAAAGTCACCGGGGTTTTTATAAGGTATTTGCACCAGTTGTTTAGGTTCGGCCACATTTTGAAATCTTTTCTTTAGGAGTTTAGCAACCTCAGCAGTCTTCTCTGTGGCGTCCTTGCCAAGCGAGTAACGGGTCGTCAAATTTGGACATGTAAAGAATAGGCACTGCATTTCAGAATTTGTTGCATCTTCAAAAATTTTATCTGCCGCTTTCTTTATTTCATCGACATTTTGCAGCCATTTTTCAACATAAGATTTAATATCTAGCACATTATTCTTTGCTTCAACAACCAAATCTCGCACCTCAGATTCCTTAGTTTCAAGATCTTTCACCTTATCCCTCAAAGTTTTAATTTTGCTATCGTAGCAGAACATATTCTCGAATTGGCGCCAAATCAAGTTCATTGCGCATCCCGCGAGCTTCTCAACAACAGAAGAGAAGATGTTTCCTGCCATTATCAATTTTCCAGCTCAAACAGCAGATATTCCAGCTGTATCAAAGAAGCCTATCAGCATTAAAAAAAAAAAAACACACACACACACACTGAAGGGTCTTAGAATCACATTCCACCACAATTTTTAGTAAACTTCAACAAATCAATAACAAAAGGAAAAAGAATTATTCCCCAGTAAATGATCAATTCTATGTGCAAAATTATATGAACTATATGGGATTGGAAAGAAACATGGTTGAGAGGATTGAAAGTTTCCCTTTCTGATAGATGCAGTGATTTGTCGTTATGCTTATGGATTTTAACTGGGTGGGTGTTTAGTATATCATTTTGGCATGTAATTAAATCATAAAGACATATATCAGGGCTCGAATTCATAGTTTCATAACAAATATAAAGTTCAGAGTTTCCTTTTATACGAGGATATATGCAAAAATAACCCAAATACAAATCCATATTTC